CAAGAATGTGACCTTCCTCTCCTGTATCAAATAACTACTGGCTGTGGCAGTCATCTGCTTTACTGCATGTGGGTGGAGTGTGCCCTCCTTACCTTTCATGAAAACAGCATGTGATCTAAACATAAAAGGTGACTCAGGAGTACAGTATATCACTTACTCAAAAAGCAGTGATTTGTCTTTTTCTTAATGTTTCTTTATTGAGAGAGAGAGAGAGAGAGAGCGCGCATAAGTAGGGTAGAGGCAGAAAGAGAGGGAGAGAGAATTCCAAGCATGCTCTGCACTATCAGCACAGAGCCTAATGTGGGTCTCAATCTCACAAACTGTGAGATCATGACCTGAGCTGAAGTCAAGAATTGGAGACTCAACCTAAAGAGCTACTCAGGCTCCCCATGTTTTAATTTTAATTTTTATGTTTTAGAGGTAATATAATTAATGAAACCCTTAAATACAGACCAAAGGGGGATAAAGGAGAAGAAAGTGAACATACCAATAATCTCACTTGTTTCTTTTTGATGTCTCCTTTCTCCTTTTTCCTATGCATGCTTTCAACCAGCTTATTAAATCAGAGAGGCTATATAACACTGGGATTTTTTTAACACACTTTTAAAAACCATTTTCCATGAGTGCTGTGGCATGTTTTCCATGAATGTTAACAGTTGTTAAGAGTGTGTTTTCGAAGTCAGATTTCATGGACTGAAGATTTGCTTCCCCAAAATTCGTAGGTTGAATCCCTGACCCCTAATTCAATGAAGCCTTTGAGAGGTAGCTTTGAATGAGGCCATGAGGGTAGGACTCACCCCAAAGAGGAAGAGAGACCAGAGCTGTGTCTCTCTTTCTGGACTATGTGCACACAGCAAGAAAACCACTATGCACAAACCAGGAAGATGTCTCTCACCAGGAACGGAATTGAATGACTTGTTGATCTTGGACTTCCAGCCTCAAGAACCTTGAGAAATAAATGTCTGTTTATAGCACATAGTCTGCAGTATTTTGTTATAGCAGACCAAGCTGGGTAATACACAGACTGCCTGACGGACCACCTACTAACTAGATAAGCTTGGGCAAATTCTATAACTTTTCTGTGCTTTTATTTCCTCAACTATAAAATGAAGAGGGTAATGGCAGCTGTCTAAGAGAGTTGTTGTGAAGATAAAACAAGAAATTGCATGCAAAGTATCTAGAAACTATTTGACACATAGTGAGCCCTCCATAGACACTATTGACTGGTGAGTGTCTAGTTTCCCCATCTGTTAATCTGAATAATCATACCCACCTCACAAGCTTTTTGTATGGGGAGAGGCCAAATGTCTGAGAGCCGAGCACAGTGCCTGGTAGAGAGCAGGTTTGGAATTATGAAAAACATAAAATCTTAAAAAATAAGAATACTTAAAAACTATTCGAATTGACATGTTTATTTGAAAATGTCTTTGAAACGCTCCAGGTGACACAGAAATTTCACATCAGAAACTGAAGATCAAACTAATGATCTTTGACTGTTTTGATCCGAGGCAGTGTTTCACTTCTCTATACTATTCCTCCAGAGAAGTCTTTTAGACCATGTGATAATAAGAGTGTTGTTCAGGTTACTTACTGCTGTATTATAAATCACCCCAAAACCTAGCAGTCAGGCACAATTGCAGTCTTTTGATTCCATGGGTCAGGAATGTTGGAAAGGCACAGCAGGAATGGCCGGACTCTACTGAGTAATATCCTGAGCCTGGGCTGGAACATTCGGTTTTGGGGGTTGACTCTGTCACTGGGGTTGAAGTCCTCGAGAGGTCATTTTACCCACATGTCTGGCATTGGCTGAGATCTTAAGTCTGCAGTCAGAGCACCTATACTCAGCCTCTCCATGTGGCCTCACAGCATGGTGGACTCAGAGGAGCGAGTCCCCTTATGTGGGGGTCTAGGAGCCAGAAGCAAATGAGCTGTGAACAAGCCTGAAGCTGGATTACATTTATGACTCAACTTTGTAAGTTACATGACGCCCCCTCTGCCGCATTCTGTCTGCCTCAAGGTCTCAAGGCAGTCCAGATGTAAAAGGAAGAACACATAGTCCTAGTCCTCTCTCAATAGAAAGAATATCAATTGCATGCTTAAAACTATGATGAAAATTTTAGCCCTGAGTATCAGGGAACTGCTTATGGAACCAGTGAAATCAGAGACCTTCTCTTGCTCAAAGGTTCACTTGGTTTATAAACAGTTTCTGAAGGTGAATGACCTTGTTTTCATTACATCTCTCTTCTTTATTCTACTCAGCCCAGGGTCCTTGCAGAGTTGAAATAATTGAATGCTTTCTGATTTACACTGAGAACAATTGCTTTTATTATTTCTTAGCTGTGTTCCAGATTTTCATTATGATAATGCTAATTATACATATTATATTAAAATGATCCATTTTTGCTGAATTTTATACTTCTCTTTGTTGTTATCCCATAAGTATCATGCAATTTTACTTTTTTTACAACTTGGTAATTTTTTACTATATAAACATATATGTTTAACCACAACACCAATAATAATAACAATAACAATAATAATAATAATAATGTCTTGATCCAACAGTATGTCCTTATTTGGTCTTAAGAAAGCGTGGCCCCACTTAGATTCACAAATATATACTTTCCCATAATTTAATAACTCTTTGTCTCAGGAAACATGAAAAGAAATCCCAGGCCAGTAATTATAATGGCAATTCTAATGAACATTTATAGAATATCTACTGTGTATTATACATTGAACTAAGCATTTTACACACAGTAGCTTAGGTAGTGTGGCATAAATGGATACAGTCTCTGGAAAAAGATAGAACTAGTTTTGCATTGGGTTCTGTCCCTTATTAACTATATAATTAAGGGCAGGTGACATCATCTCTGTGTCAACAGTAAAAGAGGAAATGGCTATCAAGGTTGATTATATGAATATACATATAGCACATAGCATGAGATCAAGTATCCAGCAAGCATCCTGAGGATGAGAGATTCTATTCCTTACAAAAATCTTAATTCACACAGCTCACATTTACTGAGTGCTTATTAAATGCTAGGTTTGTCACATGGTGTTAAATTTACTAACTCATTAATCTTCATAAAAACCTATGTGGTGAGCACTGCTGTCATCCCCATCTTATAGATGTTAAGACTGAGACTCAGAGAGACTAGCCTGCTCAAGATCACAATTTGTGGCAAGACCATGTGGCTAAGGCACAGGTTCAAAATTCAAACTCTGTCTCTGTTTCCAAAATTTACTTACGCTCAGGATTCTTTGAAAACTACAGAATGGTCCACATGCACTATCATTTCAGCATGGTGATTCCATACATTTATTTGGTATTCATCTTGTGATTGAGCCAACCCACTGTATTAGTCAGGGATCCACAGTGAAATGTAGAATGTATATATACAGAGAACAAGGCATCTCATAATAACTGGCTTATGCAGTTACGGAGGCTGACAAGTCCAAAATCTGCAGTGAACCAGAAGGGTAGAAACCCAGGAAGAGTCAACGTTACAGTTCAAGTCTGAGGGCCATTTGCTGATTGAATTCCTCTTGCTCATGGGAAGTCAGACTTTTTATTCGATCAAGCCTTCAACTGAGTGGGGATGAGGCCCATCTGTTTTATGGAGGGTAATCTTATCTTTGCAAAGTCTACTGATTTAAATGTTAATCACATCCAAAGGCAATAAAGAAAAAGAAAAAAAAAAACTTCCTAGAAACATTAAAATAATGTTTGACCGTATATCTGGCACCATGGCCCAACCAAGTTGAATAATAAAATTACCATCCCACTCACTAACAAAACAGAAGTGAAAACAAATACCAATCACAGATTAAAAATAGGAAAAATAAGTTATTTTAGAAGAAAAAATAGAAATGGTGAAATGGATGGTGAATACATGTCCTAATTGCTTTCTCCTGTCACCGCATTGAACACTGAAGAAAAAAGAAAAAAGAATATATTGAACAGAAAAAATAACAGCATAGAAAATCATAATTCAGTGCACACATAAACCCATTTATAACCTTAACAGATATGGTGCTTTTTGTTTAAAAAAAGAAAAAGCAGTGGCAGGTGTGGATGAGAGGCAGCGGAGGGTCTCATCTCTCTGGTTGTTATGGAATCAGAGGGGCTGCCAGGGCAAGGGCAGTATCTGGGCCCAGCTGAGATCAGGAAAGGGACAAGGTCTACCTGTGGTTGGCACCACAGGTGGTCCAGGCACGCAGAATGCAGCCTCCAGGGTTTGTAGCCAGCGCCACTGGCAAATTCAAGGCCCAGTATAACCATTGCACAAATTCTCTAATAGTCTCCATGGAAATTTACTATCAGTCACCAAGCACTCAAAGAGATACTATTGACTTCAAGTATTAATGCATGGCCTTTACAGTCATTTACTTTGGCCAGATTGGTTAGGGATTGTTCAATCAACAACATGAACAGCAGAACCCAGGTAATGGGAAAAGGAGGACACAAAGTGCTTAAAAAAAACTGTAAGGGTTTAAATTCCTTTGAGTAACAGGGGACAAAACTTTTTCCCCCCTGGGAGCATGTTAAAGATAGAAGCCCTTTTTGAAAAAAATCTCCTATAATCAAGATACATGTTAGGATGTGTGCATTCAGAAGAGATTCTGTGAGGGCTGCTATTTGCAGCTGTATACTCAGGAGCTGAATGAACTATTGGATGTATTCATCACTGAGGAGCAAAAAGACAACAAAAAATCTTACTCACCTCTCTGTAGGATAACAAAGGCTACAGAGAGTTGAAAAAATTAGCTCAACTTTAATACAACGGAGCAATCTATAGGATCATGGCATTGAACCTACCTGAATGTTCCTGAAGCTTCAGGAACATTTCACTTTGGACTTGCCCAGACAATCACAATTCCTCTCAGGTAACCTACACAAGATTAAAACATTCTAGACATTTCAATATTTTGGCATCCAAACCATAGCATCTATATTCTTTCCCCAAATTGGATACAAAAAAGAGAATAAGCAGAAGCACTTGGCATATTTAACTTTATTTAATCTTTCCAGCATTACGTGACATACGGGTTACCACTTCCTTATTATATAGATACATAAGTCACTTTTCTAGATGGTCTACCTAAAGTGTCTTAGGTCATATCACAAGCAAATTGAAGAAGTGGCAGTCACATTCAGAAGTATTCTTCAATAGAAGGATGGATGAATGGATGGATGGATGCGTAGTTGGGTTGATTGGTTCTCAAATTAAGTTATTTAATTTGGGTCCCCATTTCCTGGAAAGTGACATTTTCTTGACTCTACCTGAGAAGGGAAAAAATGTTAAAGGTATGTTCAAAACAAATCTTGGAAGTCCATATAATCTTTAGAAATGTATTGACTGTCAAATTTATAGCCAGACTGCCCAGCTTTATGAAGGAGAGATGGTGACACTATAGATATTAGAATGAAACTATTTATTTCTGTGAGTTGCAAGTGACCATATAACTCACACGTAATCCTGAAGTCTGTATATTCTAGGAGATTCATGCTGTATTGTATCATGGGGAATGGCTCATAATTCACGTGCTGGGCTTCCTTTGGTGTGCCCAGCCTGAACATTTAGGCATAAAATTCCTTTTCTCTTTCAGAAATGGAAATGCAACTGTGATTTTCTGGCAGCAGATTTATGTCTTGGAATAACTGTTTTAAGAAATGTGTGGATACATGGCTCTGTTTGACAAATGGCACTAGTGACAGGCAGGCACTGATGTTGCTCTACCACGTCCACCATGTCCTTTGTTTCCCCCAGAGGCCAACAGCCACCCAGTAACACATCAGAGCCCCAAAACTACACCAAAAATAACATATGTTGACGCATCTTAAAATGCAAAATTAAATGCTTAACGAAAATGACTACAGGACATAGAGTAGCCAAAAGATAAAATAAAAATCCTTCTAAAGTCTACTACCGAAATGAATTGTTTTCAGTAAGATGATAAATTATCTTAGGAGCTCCATAAACCCTGTTCTAGCACACTGTCAACGAGTTAGCTCAGTTCAAGGCCTTCTCCACCTGGTTGGAATGTTCAGGGACAACCATGGGAGCTTGCTCACCACCCCCAGGCACAGGGCTCTGGGTGAATGGACAGATGTTCTGTTGGAATGAAGCAGGGAGTCCACATGGGACAGTCAAACCGGGACTGAGCATGATCCCTGACCCTGCTGGGTGCTGCTTCTGCTTGGCCATGAGCTAAGGCAAATTGGGGGAAGATCTCTATAACATCCTTCACATATTTTAATGGCACTCCATCCTATAAATATGTCATAAATTATTTTAATCATATATTTTATTCATTTTACCTACTTTTTTAAAATGCCACATGCATTTCCATTTGAAAATCTTCTGTGAAATGAATTGGGATGTTTCAAATATATATTAATCCTAGTGTCAGCTAAAATGACCAGCCTCTTAGGATCTAAAAAATGATTGTCCTGGGGTGCATGGGTGGCTCAGTTGGTTAAGCATCCAAAATTCTTAGTTTCCACTCAAGTCATGATCTCACAGTTTGTGACTTTGAGCCCTGCATCAGGGTCCATGCTGGCAGTGCAGAGCTTGCTTGGGATTCTTTGTCTCTTTCTCTCTCTTCTCTTTCCCTGCTCTCTCTCTCTCAAAATAAATAAACATTTAAAAAACTAGTTTAAAAATAAATAAATTAAATAAATAAATAAATAAACAAAAATAAAAATTTAAAAAAAAAAAAGATTGGCCTCTAACTCTTTATTACATGGCATGTGGAAAGTCCAGCGCCCCTCACCCTCAAATGGAAGTCTGCAAATTCTTAGGGTGTCTAACTACTCAAGTTCATACAACTCTGTGTTTACACTCCTCCTGAAGGCTTTTGCGTGTGTCTTCTTGCCATGGTGAATGTGCTTTCCTTGTTCTATATTAAAGATTCTAGGTAAGGACTGCAAATCTGATTCTGGATTTTAGTAACTATGAAGCCACTCAAATGACTTTCGGAAGACCTTTGCATATAGAGCCAGCTCTCCTGAGGATTTGGGGAGATAGGGATTCAAAAGCTAGAGTCACAATGGACATTGGGTGGTGGGCCTGCCTCTTCCTTGATAGCCCAGCAGAGATCCCTGGATGTCCACAATCAAGGAACCGCCATAGCTATGCCATCTGGTGCTGTGCTCCATTCCCCTATGCTCTTCCTGGTTCCTCCAGCCACCTGTCCTAGGGGAATCTAACAATATTTCAAATCCTGTCCATTTTCTTACACATAACAATTTTATCCCCCTTGTTCTGCAGGCTCATTATATTCTACTCTAAAACTAAGCATGCACATGTAGATCGTCAACCATCTACTCATTTTCTAAACGAAGGTATGTCCTTCCAAGAGGAACTCTGATATCATTTATTAAGATGACTTATCATCGTAAATGTTTGCTTACATGTATTGTCCTAATGGTAAACTGAGAGAAGTAATAGATATTCATATCAGGAAACCACATACATCACTTCCTTAATCCCCAGGACCATCTTTCAGGCCCATACCATCATTTTCCTGCTGTCTAATTGCCAATATTCATCTTGTTTTTCTTCGTTCTTTGAAGCTGTCTCCACCTGTGTTATCTGTATGAATTCTTTTTCCATCTGGGTCTTGCTAGATAATGGAATAAGGTCATAAAGACTTTAACATTCCTCACTGGACCATTTTCACTTTTATATGATTATTTCTAATCATGTGAGTAGGCATGTAGACTTTATAATCATAGGAGAGAGAGAACGATGGTTCAAAAATTCACCATGTCCTCTCTTTCATGTCTTTCTCTCTGATGTCCCTGACTTCCTTCTGAGATGGGCAGTGACACCTGTTTGGATTCTTATTTTCCTCTTCTTTCTCTCAGAGTAGAGTTCATTTTACCTGTCTCCTTCATTTCTAAACTTTAGAGCCTCCTTCAAAAGTGTCCTCTTTCTAGAACATGGACCCCAGACAACTGGGCCAGAGCAATAGCTATCCCTCATCTTGAAGAATGTAGGGTTTGGAGATGAGAAGGAAATAGATTAAAATCATGGGGAAAAACATGGCATTTAGCAAAGTGTTTAACCACACTTAATTATCTTTTTTTAATATGTAAAATGAGGCTAGTCTTATGGCATAGTAATATATAAATTAAGGATTCTGCAATATTTTGACACAGTCTTTTTTTCATAAATCCTTTGTTTTAAAGTTTATTTATTTGAGAGAGAGAGAGAGAAGAGATAGAACCACCTGGGAGGGACAGAGAGAGAGAGGGATAGAGAGAATCCCAAGTATACTCCATGCTGTCAGCACAGAGCCTAATGTGGGACTCAAACTCATGAACCATGAGATCATGACCTGAACCGAAACCAAGAGTCAGACACTTGCCTGACTGAACCACCCAGGCACCCGACATGTAGATATTCCTCAAGAAACCATGAGAGACTCTTGAATGCTGAGAACAAACTGAGGACTGATGGGGGTGGGGGGGATGGGAAGAGGGGTGATGGACATGGAGGAGAGCACTTGTGGGGATGAGCACTGGATGTTATATGGAAACCAACTTGACAATAAACTATTTAAAAAAAAAAGAATCTTGGCACTACAGAAAAAGGAATGCCTGGCTTCCCTACAGCTTTGCTTTTAATTCTGTGATCTTAAGCAAATCACATAAGTTTCTTTAAGTCTTGGCCTCCTTCTCTGTCAAATAAGGATAAGAAAACCACTGTGGGCATTCATGGATATGTATAGATGTCAGGTGAAGTGTTCAATCCTTAAATATTCAGGTGAAATTTGCTTGAATCCCATGTCAGATGCTACGATACATCCCTGCACATGTGATTCAGACTTTCTGTGATTTCCACAAGATGCAGTGAGGTAAGGCAGACCAATACTTTCCTTCATTCCTAAAACTGTTAAATTTAATGATTTCTTCCAACCCATGATCTTATGTTGACATGTTGAAACATTCCACCCAGTAAAACCCAGTCCTGTTCCTTTGAGCCCCCCCAACAAATTCTAACTCAGCAAGGTATATTCTGATTTTATTGAGTTTTGTAGCAGGCCAGAAGGATTGCCCAGAACTGTCTACTGTCTGTTAAAGGCATTTAGCCTCATATTTTCAATACCATCCCCACCACTGCCTGTAGCCTCTGAAAGCTTATTTTTTCCTTTCTTTAATATGCTCCAGGATACAGTGGACCACCTTGTCTTAGGGTTGCACCTCAGAGACTTAGTGAAAATTCCACATTTCCTTCCCTTTTCTCTGCTCCCTTGTCTCCTCCAAGGAAGGAGATAGTGATATCTGTGTCCCCATTATTATGCCATCTCCCTGCAGGTCAGAAGCAACCACCATCACTTTGGGTTTGAAATATCCTGTCCTTCCTAGTTCTTCCTTTTTCACATGTAAAGCATCTTACACTGAGTTAGATCCTAAATGAGTTTGGAAGAGGGGTGGAAGGGGGAAGATGGGACACTCTGGATGGAGGGTATGGTCAGGGCAGAAAGAAAATCAATAACATTGGCGGGGGGAGCATAGAATTGATGTGACAGAAAATAGGTTCCCAAGCCAGGAGATCCTGTTACTAAACACTCCTGATATCTAATACCAAAATGTTCTTAATTCCGTGTATGAAAGCATAGCTCTTAACTCTCTAAGCCTGAATAATGGCCCCATGCTCTTCTTACTGATATAGAACCCTCCCTCCACCTCCCTCCACACACCCCAGCACCTGTGAGTTGGGAGAAGATCTCTCCTTCCTAGGTGGGAGCACAGATGCAGAAAGGCAATGATTTCAGAGGGTTTATTTTAGAAACAGAAAACAGCCTCCTAATGACACGCTGGCTGGAGGGGGGTTGCATCTCATTGGTTATGCTGGCAGATCACCCTCCGCTGATCTGTTTTGTCATTTTGTTGTCTGTTGAGGAGACAACAAAATGTTGGTGAGCAGCTGGTGGCAGAATTATGTTTTATGTACAAAATGTGGAAGAAAATTCTGGCCCAGCGCTATAATTGCCTGATTGGATGGGGGCGAGAGAATGAGCTATGCATTTATCTGAATTAAATGTGCTTTCTCGCTTCAAGGTTCAGCATGCTCAACTAGGATGAGAATTAGTGCGCAATACCCTTTGAGCATTTCAGATAGGATTTTGTAAAAAAAAAATATATATATATATATATGGCTCAGAAATTTCTGGAAAGTCAGAGTCAGCGAGGAGTCCAACAAGACTAGAGTGATATGGTATATTGGTATCTGCAAGGATTTGGGGTTCCTCACAGAAATGCCTCAAGACAGTTAACATGCTAGTAGAGGAGCAGGAACAGAGGACTGGGGAGAAAACCCAGCAACAGGACTTGGGGGGGGGGGGTGCGTAGGGATACAGTTAGGCAGGCAAAACCCAGTACATTAGACACCAGGTCCTGAGTCCTTTTATAAAACACAGTATCTAACAGCTATGGCACACTAATTTCTTGGAGCAATTAGACAACTATCTAGTACATCATATTATTTTACTTCAACTCCTAAGTCATTTGCTTCTTTTTTTAAAATTTTTTAAATGTTTATTTATTTTTGAGAAACAGAGGATGAGCAGGGGAGGGGCAGAGAAAGAGAGAGACACGGAGTCTGAAACAGGCTCCAGGCTCTGGGCTGTCAGCACAGAGCCTGATGCGTGGGGCTCGAACCCACGAACCATGAGATCATCATCTAAGCTGAAGTTGGACGCTCAACCGACTGAGCCACCCAGGCGCCCCCTAAGTCATGTGCTTCTTAAGGGTTATAAGTGCTTGCTCTCTAAAATATTCATAACGATCGCACTTCTGTGTTAATTACATAATTTGATAAAATGCTACCTAAACTAGTATACATGAATTTAAAAAGGAAGCTGTTTTTTCTTTGTAAATTCAGTTGAAAAACTTATTAAAGATGACTCACCAAAAACATTTGGAGCGAACGTGGTGTGAGGAAGCTGACCTGAAGGCTGCAGGGAAATCACAAACACCAAACTCCACACTCAGATTTGCAAGTATGCGCAAGATATCACTCCTTGTGAAAGAAACGTGAATTAGAAGTTGGAAAGGACTCATTATGAGTCTGTTTTTTTCAAGACAGAATAAACGAAATGCTAATCACAATGCTCATGTTCAAAGAAAAGATCATGATATTAAATGAAAAAATTGGCAAAGACATGTGTAATTAAAATGCTTACAGCATGCGTATATGCATGTGTGTGTCATTTTTTTTTACTTCCCTCCTTAGCCATATTTTTTATTAGTTTGTCAATCTCAGGTCTGGACTAGAAGGGATCAGATGTCTTTAGCTTTGCTGGGAGTATGTATGAAGTCATTCTGGATGGATTAGGGGATGTCAGAAGGACCAAAGAGGGATCACATGGCGTAGGAGGGTGGATGGAGGTGAGGAACATGTGGATAGTCTGTAGAAGGGAGGGCTGTCACCAGGAAGCAGGATCAAAGTCTCTCGAGGGTAGATCTGGGGCTTGGACTTTAGCCCACGTGAGTTGGAAGACTGGTTACAGAAAACCATGGCTTAGCCCTAAGGATCTGGGGAGATGGGCTGGATAATGGCAGCAAGGCTCAGGGACAGAACAAACTAAGTAGCTCTATACATACAGAAATACTGTGGACCTCACAGGTCAGCAGAGCTGCCACACCACACCCCTCTCTCTGATCCTCAGTTCCCTCATCTGTAAACTGTGGACCGTCGTAACTCTGTCATAGGGTAATAGGAAGGATTAAACGTATGACACATTCACACCACCTAACACATGAAGTATCATTAGCTGGACAACAAGGTTCTTATTTCCTTTCTTCCATCCATTCATTCCCAAATATTTACTGAATATCTCCTCTGTGCCAAGAGCTCTTCTAGCTATAAAGGAGACCACAGTCAGAAACAGAGGTGGAATCCAATTCACATGAAACTTACTTTCCGATGAAAGAACAGACACTAAAATAGGACTATAATATAATTACAAGGACATGCACTTTGAAATGAAGTGGAGGAGGGAAGTGAAAGACTCACGATGGTGTAAGGAAAGGTAAGAGTGGGAGATGGTATTCATCTACATACTCTCTGCTCTTGTTCTGGGAGGAAAATGGCAATGTGGCCATGAAGCTATTGTGTAATTATTGATGATTTCTCAGCTGCCTGCAGCACAAAACAGAGTGAGTCATGGCCAGCAAACTTCAGAGAGCTCTTAATTTTTAATTTTTAATGAAAACAACTTTACTGTTTTTGCTCTAAGTATTATATATGAAGAAAACTCAAAACAGTGCAGCAAATTATGAAAAAGTAAAAAAATAAAGAAAAACTAAAAATTTCCATAAATGTCAACATTCAGATATAGCGATTGTTAACATGTTTTAGTCTGTGTTTCTGTTTGTTTTAGTGAACTTGCTGCTTAAAGAAAAGCCTTAATGCATATCAATTCCCTTGTTAACAGGAGAAATGTTGGCACTCAACCAAAACTCTTAAATGCATGTAAATATATACACTGCATAAAATACATACACATAATACATCCATCACAAACATACATACAAATACAGATACAAATGTGTGTATGTGTATGTAAGTGTATATGTACAGCACCTGAGAGAGACACATATATATGAATGTGTGCATACATAGATAGAGAGAGGGAGAGGGAGAGAGAGACAGGAGAGGGTGGGATGCTTACGGGTTGTGACTCCGAACAAGACATTTAACCTCCAGGGACTCTCATCGACTTGTTTGGAAAGTGAGTGCGTGGGGCAGAAATGGCAATACTCCCCCACAATGCATTTGCTCCCTGACATCTCTTGGCTCCCTTGCCTTTAGGGAAGGCCTTGCCTATGTGACTGTTTCCACAGTGACACTGTGACAAGCAAGTGCAATTCCCCAGTGCTTCTCCTTCCCTCCTGTGGGGACTGAGGTGGCAGACGGGTATGCATTAAGACAGGAGCCTCCCCTGCCTGGTGCATGCGTAGAACAGAGCCCTTCCCACTCTGATGCCAAAAACCATGAGCAGGGGAAAAAAAACAAAATGAAACAAAATAAACAAAACCAAAAAAAAAAAAAAAACCAAAACTTTGTTAAATGAAGGCACAGAGTGTTTGGGTTGCTACAGGGTAACAAACCTACCAGACCAAAACAGCAGGAGAAAACACACAGCAGCCAGAGGGCTAAACAAGACCATGTGAGGCCAATAATAGAAGCTCAGTCAATACTGGTTGAATCTGAATGACTGGGTCTAATGGAGAGGAAATTAGTCATACTGCAAACACGTTGCAGTGACTTTTTTTTCCCCTTGAGAGGGACAGGCAGAGAGAGTCGGAGACAGAGAATTCCAAGTAGGCTCCACGAGGTCATCACAGAGCCCGACATGGGGCTCGAACTCACAAACCATGAGATCATGACCTGAGCCAAAATCAAGAGTCAGAGGCTTAACCGCCTGAGCCACCAAGATGCCCCCTTTGCAGTGGCTTTTGAGAGGAACGCAGATAAAACACTGGCAAGCGATTTCTGATACCTCCCAGTTGTATATTTTCTCCAGACCTGAGTTCAGTTTTCTCTATGCTGTTCCACTTGGCAAAGAAACCCTCTAAGATCTCTGAGCAACCATCACCCACTAAAAGTTAGTTCTGCATCACTGTTCTCTTCTGCCTCTGAGCCCCACCACCCGGGCCTCCTGGGCTCCTCTCCCAGTCCCCACCATGCACTTCTGGTTGCAAATGCTGGCTCTCCTTGTCATGGGTCTCCCCCTGGAAACACCTCCTGAGTGTGGAAGTCCTTGAACTTCTGATCTAGCGCTGTCCCCAAGCCACACATCATCCACTTTCTGTCACAAACGCCTCTTTCATATTTTTGTAATTCTTGTCAGTGTCAAAACTTAATGTATTCATGTATCTGCTTATTTACTGCCTGAACCCCACCCTCCACTAGTAAGTTCCATGAGAACATAGACTTTGCTGTCTTGGAACAATGCCTGGAACATTGTGTTCGGTATTATCTGTTGAATAAATGCATGGGCACTTACTATGCACTAGATTCTGTGCTAGACGCCCTAGTAACTACATACTAGAATCAAATAAAGTAGGAAGAGATGAGTACTAATTAAAGGCAATGGAAATTTTCTATAGCACTACCAATGGATGGAGCATTTAATTCTTACTAAATTAGAGGCAGCAGGGAACTTTTCCTAGAGGTGAGATTATTTAATCTCAGCTGTGGAGAATGAATAAGATTCTGAATGGTGAGCTGTCAAGACAGTGGGAGGAGGGGTAAAATAGACTTCCCGCCAGCTGAAGGGTGGTATCGAGACTGAAGCAGGGACAATTCAGGGCCGACTTCAGCAACAATGAGGTGGCCTCTGCTGACTGGTTGTAAGGAGAGAAAACTGCCCATGGAAGATAGCGCTCAATGGCGAGGAGACCTTGAAGGTTCTATTGGGTGGACCTGCCTGTTCAACATGGAAGGTCATTCAATATTTATAAGCGAGTATATAGTTTCCCAGAGTTATTGTACCAAAGTGCCACAAACCAGGTGGGTGTCTTAAAACAACAGAAATGTGTTGTTGCACAGTTTCAGAGGCTGGAAGTCTGACATGAAGGGGTCAGTAGGGCTCTGCTCCCTCTGAAAGTGGAGAGGAATCCTTCTTTGCCTCTTCCTAGCTCCTGGTGGTGCACTGACAATCACTGGTGTTCTTTTGTTTCTAGATGCAATCTAGAACCCTTCAATCTTCCATCTTCACATGGCCTTTTCTGGTGCCTTTGTCTCTTTGCATAGCATTGTATTATTATGTTTTTAATAAGGAAATAAACCACACTTGGTTTGGGGCCCACTGTCCACAGTATGACTTCCTGTTGGCTATTTTCATCTGCGGTTACTCCAGTCCAAACAAAGTCACATTCTGAAGTATTGGGGGCTAGACTTCAGCATGCATTTTTTTAAGTTTATTTATTTATTTTGAGAGAGACAGAGACAGTATAAGTAGGGGAGGGGCAGAGAGAGAGGGAGAGAGAGAATCTGAAGCAGACTCCTGGCTGCCAATGCAAATCTTGATGCAGGGCTTGAACTCATGAAACTGTGAGATCATGACCTGAGCTGAAACCATGAGTCAGATGCTTAATCAACTGAGCCACCCAGCTACCCCCAGCATGTCTTTTGTGAGGGACACAATTTAGTCTATAACACCATGGACTTGTGTTTGAGAAGTCACTCAGTTAATGGTTAATTAATGCTTTCAGCTGGGACATTGTTTTGTCTTTGTTTTTGTTTGTGCCTTCTATTGCTTTGCCCTTGAACTGAAACACTGGCCTTTTCTCAGTCTCAAGACTGCCAGCCCTCAGCCTGGAACTACACTATCATTTCTCCAGATTACCAATTGCAAGTCATCAGATTGTCAATTGTCCACTTCCATAATGACATGAGTCAGTTCTCTAATTATTTATTATACTGTATGTAATATATTATTATAATGGTATTTCAAATTTATACTTATGTAATTTATATTTATACACACTGTATATTTATAATGTTAATATATTATGACATAATAAGTCTAATATATTATAATAACATAATATATTATATAATATTGCATGAGACAATTCTCCAGTTCTTTCTTTATAGAAAAATGACACTTATCAGTTGACCCTTGAACAACACAGTTTTGAGCTACATGGGCCCACTTGCATACAGATTTTTAAAATAAGGACAGCACGGTACTGTAAATGAATTTTCTTTTCCTGATGATTTCTAATACCATTTTTTATCTAGCTTACTTTATTGTAATAATATGTTATGTAATACATTTAGCCTACAAAATATGTATTAATAGACTATGTATGCTATCAGTAAGAGTTCTGGTCAACAGTAGGCTATCAATAGCTAAATTCTGAAGAGTCAAAAGTTGTGCATGAATTTTGACATTGTGTAGGGTTTATACCTCTAACTCCCTCATTGTTCAAGGATCACTATATATGTGTGTATGTTTGTGTGCATATGTGTATGTATGTCTCCTACTGATTCTGTTTTTTTCTCCAGCAAACCCCAATTTACACAGATTTTGGTACAGT